TAGATTTTATTGTAATTAATAATTATCACAGAAAGGGGGCAAAGTTGCTGGTAAGCTTTGGCATAAGGTGTGGCAAATACTGGGCAATGACGATGCACAGCCAGGAGCTCCCTGCCTTGCTCAGTGGTCTTCCAAATGGCCCATCAGTTGCTCTTTCTCTTATTCCCTAATGCCAATGAGAACAAGGCCTTCAGAGCTCTCTTAGCCAAAACAGCACCACCAGCACCAGCAGCAACACCAGCAGCAGCAACACCAGCACCAGCAGCAACACCAGCAGCAGTAGCAACACCAGCAGCAGCAGCATCAGCAACAACACCAGCAAAAACAACAGGAGCAGCACCAACAATAACTGCTGCTGCAGTCACACCACCGACAGTGATGACTTTATGAGCGAGAGAAGCCCAACGTCGAATTGCTCTCCTGGCCTGTAAAGGGAAAGTAAAACACGGGTTGGAAATAAAATAAGCAAATATATTTACCTCTAAGCATGCTAATGAAGAGCAGGCAGGGATAATCAGGGTAATTAAAAGAATGAGAGACATCTACTCCTTAAGCAGAAAAGGTAACACCCAGGTTTCTACACTTAGGCTGTGGCATTCAGGAAGAGGGCACTGTAAGGGCGCACACAGTACACACACACCCTCCTGGCCTAGGGTCTCTGGTGAGGCCAGAGGCAGCACAGGTTTGGACCCCACACCCAGGACTTGGCTGTCCCCAAGCAGTCTGCAGGCTGTGTGACTGTCCAGGGGCTGACAGGGAACAGCATGTGCTCTGTGAGGTATACAGGGACTTGGGTTACTTACCTGACTGCTGTCCTCCTCACCATAGCGGAGCTTTGTCACAAAGTGCTCACAGTTTTTGCTGAGCAAATCATAGGGCACCTCCCTGTCAATATATTTCTCAGCCGTCTTGATGATCTCCTTCACTGGGAGAGGAGTGTGGGACTGGTCATACTTGTTGTTGACCTTCCAGTCATCAGTTCCCACCACATCCTTCAGGAGCTGCTTCTTCACCTTGGCCTTTTTGGTCAATATTGCCACGCTACCAGCTGACGGACGTGGGATCCCTTCATCTGGGGGAAAGCAGGAAGGAGAGAAGCCAAGCAGAACCAGTCTGGCTCCTCCAGAACCTCAGATGGGTTTCTGGCTGGTCCTGCAAAGGCCATCTACACACACCGAGGGTTGGTCCACCAGCCCATGGAGGGAGACAGGGCTCCTGGGGCACTCCAGCACCTCTCTGCACCCTGCCAGGCTGCCCCAGCCTTACCTTCTGCCGTCACGTGGATGACATACCCATCGCCCAAGTAGAGAGCCCAGTGCTGGTAAATTCCTCGGTTGATCTCGATCAGGTCCCCCGGCTGGGGGTCCCGCTTGCCAGACGCCATCCCAGGAGCCTGCGGTCAGGACACACTTTTGTAGCTGGGCTGGCTCAGCGCAGGGCACAGCGGAGCGGGGGGCTGTGGGGTGTGCAGGGGCAGCTGCCGGGGCCGCAGGCACGGAGGGTGTTAGTGCCGGGCACCGAGGGCATCCGCTGCCGGAGCGGCGGCTCCTCCGCGCCGGACCCGACTCCCCAGGGGTGCCCGCTGTGCCGAGCCCGTCCCCAGGCTCCGGGGCACCTCCGGCCCGCGACGGAGCCGCATCCTGCTGGCAGACGCCCGCTCGCATCCGCCGAGCTCCGCTCACCTTCGCCCCTGTCCCGCTACTGCCACGACCACGCTGCCGACCCGCTCTAAATAGAGAGGGTGCGGGCACGCTCCGGGCAGGCGAGAAGGGCACGGTCCTTCCCGTGCTGACTGCCGCCTCTGCCCGGGAACCGTCCCGTCCTGTCCCGCCGCTCCGTTCGGGGCTCCGCTCCCGAGGGTGTTGCCAAAACCACCCTTTGGGACGGAATTGTGGTCCGCCCACCGAGGACGGTCGGCATTGCCACCCTGCAGGGAGCCTCTACGTCCGAGCGGTGCTCCCTTCCAGCGAAGGGCAACAGCACTGACTCTGTGCCCTGTCACTCCACAAGACGTCCTCTTGCAGAACAAGAACCTCTGGCTGCTGCTTAAAGCCTGGCTTGGGAGCTGCTGTGTTGTTTCAGCTTTCTGTGTCTTTGTGTCCACACACACAATGGAGGAGAAAACGCCAGGCAAAGCCAAGCTGCAGCCACAGAAGCTGCTGCCAGTGTTCACACCCTACTTCTTCTCTGTGACCCCTGGTACAGAGGGAAAACACTGTCTGGAATAAAGAGGCAGCATTTCCTTTCCCATTACAGCCTCTTTCAAAACTTCATCCTAATTTTGCTCTGTTTACTCTGCCCCAACCCCTCTCCACATCCATTGTCCTCTGGAAACAGCCACTGCCTTCTCCAGAGCCAACACAAGTCCAGGCTCTGAGGTACCTCAAGTGCTAAGCCGGGGGTGCTCCACCACGGGATCACCTCCGTGCAAGGCTTGTGTTTTCCTGATTTTCCCTCCATCAGTTACTGCGTGAGTAGGTGTGTGATGGCACCACTCACTGTGGGTAGGTAGGAGCTCCTCTCCTGCTCTTTTTAATTTCCTCTTTTTCAGCCTGTGGAGTGCTGTGACAAGGGGCTGCCCAGTGCCACTGCCACCAGCATTTCCCAAGTTGGCCCATGGGTAAACTCCATCATGTGTGGCTGTAAAATCCTGTCTAGAGACTTTTAAAATACTAACATACACAATAACACAGGATTATCCTTCTGATTTTCTCCCTCAGAAATAGGGATAAGAGACTTTTCCTTACATATTCCTTACATAGTTTTTTATTTATTACATTATTTTCATATTTGTTATAATCTAGCCAGTAAAATACATAAATATTGATAATATAATACTATAATAAGAAACATGCAGTAGCTTGCTTTGTAAAAGCTGTCCTACAATCTCCAAGCCTCTTATCCCTCTTGCCCCCACAGCAGGAAGCCCAGGGCTCTGAAGAAGGGGTTTCAAGCCTTTTTTGCAACATGGTTATCTCTTGCAGAAATTGCACTTCTCAAGGCAGACAGGAAACAGCCCAAAGCAAGCACAATGCCTGAATATTCCCACACTGAATATTCTCAGGATCTTCCAGCTGCGAGGTCATCTTGAGCAAAACCAGCTCTACGGCAAGTGGTGGATTCTGCTGCTCCTCCTCACACACTCTCTTCATGGTTCAGGTAGTGTTCAGCCAAATAGTATTAATGCACCGACCAGCTTGATGGAAAGGCAGTCAAGTAATAATCAACCTAAGCTTGACTGCACAGACAAGCACGGTACAGGTGCAAACCCCTGCATTCAGTGAAATGCTACGGCTTCCAGGAAGAACAAGAAAATTCACTAGCTGAAGTAATTCCAGTATTCTTGCCCTTTCGAGGGTGAATTAAACATGGGAGTGGCGCAAGGGCTGCCATCACAAGTGCTGCCTTGCCAGCTGTTGCTCTGAATACAGAAAGCTTAAAGCTCAGGGCTTGCTGTAAAACCACCTAAATAGTTAAACCATGAAAGCAGTTTTGATTACATTTCCAGGAATCAAGAAAGGACTTTCAGTTTCAGTTTTATAAGAATATGTTTTCCTGCGTTAAAAACAATTACTTCATTTAAATGTAATAACAGGGGAATCTACAAAACATGACCGGAAGTCCTGGCTTTGTTATTTCAAACATTAAAAAATAGGCATGGAAAAAACTAATGAATTAACTCCTTGTTTTGCTTTGCTTGGGTGCGTGGTTTTTGATTTACTTACTGAACGATGTT